GGTGAGGATGTTATAAGGGTGTAAATAATAATCGTTTATTATTTATGGACCGATGCATCGATGCACGTCTGAAAGAGTATCGATTAATGTTGTTTCCTGTTTTCCTCCGGTCTACTTTTATCCGTTTGCTCCTGGATGTAATTCTGATTTTGATTTTGATTCAACTGCATTAAAGACATGTAAAATCAACTAGAGATGCTATGAAGCCTGGTTCCCATGAGGAGATAGTTGTGCTCATTTTTGCACTGATTTTCACGAGTGGTGCTTTAAGTAATCAGGTCTGCTTGGAAATGTTTCCCGACTGCAACATTTGCAAAGCAGAGAAATCCATCGTCCATCATAGCAGACGAGGACCCAGCCTGTCCAATGTGACACGTAGCCAATCAGAAGGCCTCTCCTAGTTTTTAAACCAGCAACCTCTCCTATTGTAATGTCTTTTCTCTCATAGTCAGTCTCTAAACTCTACTGCTGTGTCCTCATCACTCATGTTTATTAACTATGAACTTTTGAGATTCTGCTAGATTTTTTATTTTACTTGTGGGTTAGTATTCAAAATAAAATAATTTTAAAATCGCGTATGAATCCGGACTGGGGGAAAAAAAGGAAAAAAAAGTTTTTTAAAATCTAAAAGTACATTTTTTATCAGACTTATAAAGGAGGCCTAGAAAAATATTCAAATATTATTTTATTTTTTTTGTATTTATTTTTAGTGCAGTGTTTATAGTTTTAATTTTTGTAGTTTCTTTTATAGTTTTCTTTAGTTTCAGAGTGAAACCAGAGATGCAAAGGATTTTATTTCTGGATCTACTTCTTTAGTTCCTTTTTTTCGTCTTTGCAGAGAAATCAAAGAATTGACGATTTGTTCCTTTTGTGCTTTAACTGTAGAAACATAAAGACATGAATTTGCATCTTTAGTTGATCTAAATGTTTTTAAAGGACAGTTTAACACAGTTAAACCAAACCAAAGCCCTTTTTTCCCTAAACTCTGCTCTGTGTCCGTTTACCATCCAGTCTTTCTTCTGCCCTTACAGGAGATCAACACAGCGGAGAGACACGTATGTTTGACACGAGACGTGAAGACCAGCCTGTCCCTCTCCATGGAGACCACCGCCTCCAAGGTAAACAGGCTTTATTGATCTTTTCCTTTTTATAATTCTAGTAAAAGAAAACTTTGCTGCAAGTCATGATTTCCAGACTCTTAATCTGTTTGATTCGTCTCTTCCAGGTGAAAACTCCAGTTATTAATGCGAAAAGCAAAGTTTTGGTTCCAGGGCTGCCGGGTCATACGGCGCCTTTAACGGCGGCTCAACAGGGAACGGAAAAGAGGAAAAAAGACTCTGACAATAAGGAGGTAGGTCTCCGCCGACAGCAGAACATTTGGGCGAGGAAACATCTTTGGATTTCCTGCATTAATGCAAGTTGGTTTTTTCCTTCCAGATGTCCATAGCTGAGCGACTCGGTGAAATCGACCTGGAAGCAGTTTCTAGCCAAAAAGGAGCATCTAGAGCGGCGGCTTCGTTACAGACGGACAACTTTGCCATTCTTCTGATGCAGGGCCTAGAGAGCAATGATGACGACATCCTAAACGTATGTTTCCTTTACATTCTACTCTTAACCTGGAATTAATAATCAAAATCTTTAACTTTAGGATGGAGTGATACTTTGTGCTCATTTGAATCTTTTTTTGTTTTTTTGCAGAAAGTTTTCCAGACTCGTAAAGATGTGTTAATAAAAAAGACGGTTGCTAGGTTACCGCTCTCTGCCGTTATACCGTTAGTTGAAGAGGTAAGAATAATAAATATGACTTTTAACCCTTTAGAGACACATTTCTCCTCAGCATCTCACTCACACCTTTACTTCTCCTCTACATCGTTCATAGCTAACAAAGAGGCTCCAGGGGCACCCTTTGACGTAAGCTCAACTCTTTGATTTCCTTTTCCTATCTCTAATAAATCCAAGCTTCTGGTTTTTGACGAGCATCTCTGCTCCTTCCTGCAGGGCGTGTCTGATGGTACGATGGCTGAAGGCGGTCCTCATGCACCACACATCATACCTGGCATCGGTGAGCCCCCATCACTCTGATCTGTGGTGCTCAGATAAACCCGTCAGCTGTTAAATGATCTGCTCCACTGAGCCGTTTCCATCCTCTCCTCTGCAGCTGCCGGACCTGGTCGCCCAACTGGGGGTGCTTTATCACATGATTGAGAGCCGAGTGAAGATGTTCCACAAACTGACAAAGCTGCATGGAAAGCTGCATCTCCTAACAACGCAGGTGGGTGTCCTCTTTGCTCCAGCTGAAAGCATTTATAAATACTTTAAAATCAAGCAACAGATGCTTTGAAGGATAAATAAAATAAAGGGAAAATGTTTTCATTTACCACCAGGAAGTTAAACCTTTATCCTGTGAGCTTTTAGGTAGATGGAAATTAAATCAAACTCATGAAGCTTAAAGCTTGGTTTTTGCTTGAGGTGTTTGTGCAGCCAAATTACTTCATTTTGAGCTTCTACGCCCCGAATTATATAAATTTCCTAGATGCTCCTTGCAGAAACTCTTAAGGAGATCCGTGCAGAAAACATGGCGAGTAGGCAAGTAGTTTTTATTGTTGGGAGAGTCCAAATTTCTTTGCATTTGCCCGCCGAGCAATGATCGCAAAAAAAAAAATGATTTATCTCTCAGAATTACTTTAAAATCACCGACATTTGATGAAAACGACCCAGAAGCGTTGCCGGCGCCATTTTTGTTGTTTTGTACACATCCTCGCGTGATTTGAAAAAGCCTGGTGATTTTATGCCAGATGGCGTGATTTTTGTCCACCTAGCGGTAATTTTGGTCTAGTTACCAAAACGACAAACGGCTGCATTTATTTTATCAGGGAAAACTGATCCTGAGTCAGTTAAAGTCAGGGAATTCTGAAATGATGTCAGACTGTGGAAACCCTGAATAAAATAACTAT